AGGAAGGCAAATGGAATTTTGTCCTTCATTGCTAAAGGGATTGAAATAAAAAGCAGAGAGGTTATGTTGCAGCTGTACAAGGTGCTGGTGAGGCCACACCTGGAGTACTGTGTGCAGTTTTGGTCTCCTTACTTGAGAAAGGATGTACTGGCACTGGAGGGGGTGCAGAGGAGGTTCACTAGGTTGATTCCAGAGTGGAGGGGGATGGCTTATGAGGAGAGACTGAGTAGATTGGGATTATATTCATTGGAATTCAGAAGATTGAGGGAGGATCTTATAGAAACATATAAAATTATGAAGGGAATAGATAAGATAGAAGTAGAGAGGATGTTTCCACTGGCAGGTGAAGCTAGGACAAGAGGGCATAGCCTCAAGATTAGAGGGAGCAGATTTAGGACTGAATTGAGAAGGAACTTCTTCACCCAGAGGGTTGTTAGTCTATGGAATTCCTTGCCCAGTGAAGTAGTTAACGCTACTTCAGTAAACGTTTTTAAAGATAAGGTCGATTTGTTTTTTTTTTTTATGTAGATTTTTTTTTTTTGAACAATAAAGGAATTAAGGGATATGGTGAGAACGCGGGTAAGTGGATCTGAGTCCACAAAGATCAGCCATGATCTTATTGAATGGCGGAGCAGGCTCGAAGGGCCGGATGGCCTACTCCTGCTCCTAGCTCTTATGTTCTTTTCTGTATGTATGTTTTGGGTTATTTGGTGAGCAAACATTTATATTTTTATATTACACATTGTGTGTGTGTATAAATCAATTGCCCATCTTCATTGAATGGATTTTGTTTAATAATAACATCATAATTAAGCATCTCTTAAATTGGTTGATGGCTCTTGTGCTTTAACTACATTAGACTTCGAAAGAAATGATCGTACATATTGGAACTTGAAAATAAAAACATTTTAACCATACTGTGACCTGTGGAGTAGTGGGAATAGAGCAATGGGGGCACTCATCCCATCCCTGCTTCCTCAACACTACCAGCCCCTCCATCTATCTTTGTGTCATCTGCAAACTTAGCAACAATGCCATCAGTTCCTTCATCCAGATTGTTAATATATAACATGAATAGATGTGGTCCCACACAGACCCCTGCAGAACTCCACTAATTACTGGCTGTCATCCTGAAAAGGACCCCTTTATTTCCACTCTGTGCCTTCTGCCAGTCAACTAGTCCTCTATCCATACCAGCACTATGCCCCTAACACCATGGGCTGTCATCATCTTTAGCACTTCTCAAAGGCCTTGTGGAAATCCAAATAGATCACATCCATTGCCTCTCCTTTGAGGAGTAATAAGCAAGTTAGACAAAGAATTCTAACAGATTTGTCAGGCAGGAGCTCCCGTTCATGAAGCCATGCTGACTCAGCCCTACTTTACCATGCATTTACAAGTGCACCCCAATCTCATCCTTAATAAATAGCTCTTCTCAGTTATCAGTAAAGTTTTAGAGACAACTGGCCTATCATTTCTCGTCTTCCTTCCCTTCTCAAGCAAGAGTGTTACATTAGCCATTTTCTCGTTCACTTTGGAAAACCTTGACTCCAGTGATTCCTGAAACATCACCAATGCCTGTGCTATCTCGTTCTGAATGCTGTGATGTAGTCTCTGATCTAGATGATTTATCCACCTTCAGACCTTTCAGCTTCCCCAGCACCACCACCACCTTCATGATGACCACCACACTCTTACCTCTGCTCTCTGACTCTCGAAGTTCCAGTATGTGACTGGTGTCTTCCACCATGAAGACTGATGCAGAGTACCTATTCAGTTCTTTTACCATTTCTTTGTTCCCCGTTACTATTACTACTAAAAGAAACCCTTGTAATCTTCTTTTTATATAACTATCTAGTGTACTCTCATATTTCATCATCTGCTGCCCCCTCCCCGCCCCACCTTTGTTTTTATAGATAATTGGGAGGTGATGGCCTGGTGGTATCAGCGGTAGACTGGTGATCCAGAAACTCGGCTAACATTCTGGGGGCCCGGGTTTGAATCCCGTGACGGCAGGTCATGGAATTTGAATTCAATTAATTTCAGAAGGTTTTAAGTATCTACTGATGACCATGCAACTATTGTCAATAGTTGGAAAAACCCATCTGCTTCATTCATGCCTTTCAAGGAAGGAAATCTGACATCCTCACTTGGTCTAGTCCATGTGCCACTCCAGACCCACAGCAATGTGGTCGAATCTCTACTGCCTTCTGAAATGGCCTAGCAAGCCACTCAGTTGCTATAAAGTCTCAAAGAAATGAAACCAGATCAACCACCTGACATCGAAATAGGCACAAATGGAAGAAACAGCCCTGTTGACCCAGCAAAGTTCTTCTCACTAAAATCTGAGGGCTAGAGCCAAAATTGGGAGAGCTGTCTCACAGGCTAGCCAAGTAACAGCCTGACATTACCATATTCATGGAACCATACCTTACAGACAATGTTCCAGACACTGCTATCACCATCCTTGGATATGCACTGTCCTGCTGGCAGGATAGACCCAGCAGAGGTGGTGGTACAGTATACAGTCAGGAGGGAGTTGCCTGTAAGTCCTCAACATCGACTCAGGACCCGATGAAGTCTCATGGCCTCATGTTAAACATGAACAAGGGAACCTCCTGCTGGTTACCACATGCAATCCTTACCTGCACTGATGAATTGGAACTCCTCCATGTTGAACAACACTTGGATGAAGCACTAAGGGTGGCAACAATGCAAAATGTACTCTGGGTGGGAGATATCAATGTCCACCACTGAGAGTGGCTTGGCGGCAGCACTACTGATCAAGCTGGTCAGGTGCTAAAGAACATAGTTGCTAGACTGGTTCTGCAGCAGGTGATGAGGGCAAAACATATTTGACCTCATCCTTACCAGTTGCCAGCTGCAGATGCATCTGTCCATGATCGTGTCGGTAAGTGTGACTATCTCTCAGTTCTTATGGAGATGAAGTCCCGCCTACGCGTTGAGAATAATCTCCGTCATTGTCACTAGGTCTCTGGTCCCAGCACAATTCAGGTGAAGCTGTTCCGATCCGAACAGCTCCCTCCTTCCCCACTACATCAATATCCCTTGAATTCAAATCCATTTCTCCCACACCAATCTTTGAGTTTACCTCTTTGATCTTGTTGACCCTGTGCCAGGTAGCTTGTCACTTGGGTGTTAATCTGGAGATTATTACCTTTTTGGTTCTGTTTTCTAATTTATTTCCTAGTTCTTTATATTTCCTTAGCAGAACCTCTTTCTCCATTCTATCTATATCATTGGACCATGACAATGAGATCTTTACCCTCCCACTCCAAATTCCTCTACAGCTGTGATGGAAAATCCTGAGCAGCACAGCTTTGGGGACTCTCGGTTCTGGCCACAGAGAAAATTGTCCATTCCCCTGACAATACTGTCTCGGATTATAACTACATTTCTCTCCTCTTCTCCCCCCTTTTCCCCCTCCCCAACACACACACACCCCTTGAAGTGCGGTGATCAGTTTGCTCATCCTCCCTACAGCCCCCACTCTTGTCTACTCAGATAGCAAGAATCTCAAACCTGTTAGACAGGCTGGAAGGATTGAAGCTCATTCACCTCCTGGATCTCTCTCTCCCTTGCTGGGAGTCACACTCTCCTGTCCTTGACCCCTGACTTGGATTTGATTGAGTTAATTGAAGGGGTGCGACTTCCTCCTGAGACATAGCATCAAGCTAGCTCTTCCTCCTTCCTGATGTGTCATCGTATCGAAGCTCAGACTCCGGGTCGTCAACATCTTTTTTTTATATATATGGTCGCAAACACAGTTCAGTTCATCAACTGTAAGCTGGAGTTCCTCAAGCAACCAACACTTGCTACAGAAGCAGTCACTATGAACCACAATAGTGTTCAACCGGCTCCCACGTCATCCAGGTACAACTGATCGCCCTGCATCTCTGTTTTATTTACCTCGTCCTTAATTTGTTTTACAAATTACTCATTCATCTTTCAATTTGTAATCTTTAAATATTTCTCCTTTTTGCCTTCAATTTGAAAGCAACCTATAATAGATAATCAAATTACCAGTTAGTACCAACCAGTAAGTTACAGTTGTTCTGTGATGTCACACTTTGTTTTGTGCTGGTCCCCCCCGATCCTGGGCTTCAATTTATTCCGTTTAAAAAAACCTACAAACTATGAGCCAAATAAGTCAGCAAAAAGCACCCCTTCCCTTTTGCATAACTTCTATGCTGTCTCCAAAGTGCCCAAACTATATACTCACTCGATGTATCTCACTTCAGATGTGATCTCTCTTTCCTGACCATTTGAAACTTACTGGTCAAGGAACTATTTCCCATATTCAAAGAAACATTGTCATTTAATTTTCAGTGGTTTATAAAATGTTCTTAGAATATATAATTATGATAAATTTTGAAAATTGCGTGGATGTTCAAATGAAATTTAATGCAGAATTCTCACTCGGCAGAAGGTCTTGCAAGAATCTTAGAGGTTTGTGAGCATATTGATTATCGTGATACTGTAGATAGTATAATATCAAATACATATGTAGTATGTTTTCTTCAGTTTAATGCAAAAGTAAAATGTTACATCAATGTCACTGTGATAGATGATAATTTCAAACACTTCTTATACACTTCTTATTGTATCCCTTTTAAATCAAAATAGGTTTCAGGGGTACCACCCGTGATCACTCCAAGGATTGATCAGGTACTTGCTCAATATCGTCTGCGTTCTGTGGGAACTGATCCTGCAGCACCAATGTCTGTCACAGACTCCAGTTCATCACTGGAAGTGGAGCAATACAGGAGTCACAACACTGTCAACGCATTCAATGAAATAAGAATAAAGAAACTGGAAAAACAGATTTCTCAGTTATTGCAACAGGTGATTGTTGGAAAGAAATTACCTATAAAGGGAATTTCTTTGAGCTATGTTTTAGTATTTTTGTGTAATACATATTGCCTTATTAGGCAATTCTTTTATGAAAAAGTATATTTGCATTATTACTGTCACATGCTAATTTATAATTATCGCTACAGATGCCTTAAGTTCAGCATCAAGCGTATAGGAAGGATGTTGCTGAAAAAAAGATGAGGAGTCCTAGCTTTTCATGTTGCACTCATTCGGACAGAATTACAAGAGTACTAAATCTCAAAGGGAACAACATGTGCAAAGCCTATTGATTGGTTGACAAGTGTACCCTATACTGGTAAAGACATTACCATGGAGAATACACTACTTAACTATCCAGGTTTTCAAATTTAAACCAGATGAGTTGATGCTGATTGGTCAAGGTATTGCTATTGAGTGTGCATCAGGGAACAGCTGTTCCTCAAACTTTACTTGAAGCATTCTTGCGATTCTCTTTTTCAGCAACGCTCAAGTTCTATACGATAAAATGATAGCAATGGAAAGTGTTGTTTTGAGGATAAATGAATAAAATTGTTATAAATTATGTGAGATTTGACAGTGAACATGTATAACAAATCTTGTTTTACAGAATCATTCATTTACAACAAGGTGGGTTGGTTTGCTCAGTTGGCTGGGCAGTTGGTTTGCGATGCAGAGTGATGTCAACAGCATGTATTCAATTCCTGCTTCATCTCCTTCTCATCTCTCCCATTTTGAGGCATGGTGTCCCTCGGGTTAAACCGCTACCAAATGTCTCTCCAGTGAGACAGCAGCCCTAAAGTCAAGTAGGACTATGGTGACCTTACTTTCTTTACATGTAAATGTGAAAATAATTACTGCTATTTAGGTTTGGAGCACCCAACATTCATTCTCCGGTTAGTGTGTTCTGACCAATGTTTTCACTTTTTTTTTTTTTCCTCCACCTGGTCCAATTCACCTCAAAAGCACTTCAAGTAGCCATGCATTCTGAAATTTAAAAAAAAAATCAAAAAAACATTTAAATTCACTCAAAAGTGCTGTATTCTCCAATCTAAGAAATATATTGCAATGATGTATATAACTTTTTGCATTTTCTGAAATTGAAAATGTGTTTTAAAACCGAAGTTTTTTTTTCTAACTGCAATAGTGATGGAATTCCATTGTATTAGCGAAAAGTAAAGCCTGAACATTATGCACGGAACTTCTATGTTAGGCTTCGCAATTGCAACTACTCTAGTTTGCATTTAGCTGCAGTGTCTCTATGGGCTGGATGTAACAGGCACCAGATTTTCTTTTATGCCTATATCCTCCCATCAAAACCAAAATGCCAGTCGTCAGCTTACCAACCTGAAATGTAGCTGCTGCACAGTGATATTGAGCGGTGAGCACCTTTTTAGTTGAGTTAGAGGGGACTTTCTGACTGACCAGCAGCTTAGTAGTCCATAGCACCAGGATTTAGTAGTGACCACTTTAAGCATGGAAACAGACCCTTCAGTCCAACAGTCCGTGCCGAACATAATCCCAAACTAAACTAGTCCCACCTGCCTGCTCCTGGCCAATATCCCTCCAAACCTTTGCTATTCAGGTAATTATCCAAATATCTTTTAAATGTTGTAATTGTACCCACAACCACCACTTCCTCAGGAAGTTCATTCCACTTTTGAACCACCCTCTGTTTAACAAAAAAAAAATTGCTTCTTATACCTTTTTCAAATCTCTCTCCTTAAAAATGTGACCCCTAGTCTTAATCTCCCATTCTAGGGAAAAGACCACTACCATTAACTATCTATACCGCTCATTATTTTAGAAACTTCTATCAGGTCTCCTCTCAACCTCCTACGTTCCAGTGTAAAGAGTCCCAGCCTTTCTTTATAACTCCAACCTACCTGGTAAGTCTATTCTGAACCCTCTCCAGCTTAATAATATCCTTCCTATAACTGGGCGATCAGAACTGGATACAGTATTCCAGAAGACCAGTCACCAATGTCCTGTACAACCTCAACAAGACTTCCCAACTCCTATAGTCAAAGGACAGGGCATTGAAGGCAAGTGTGCCAAATGCCTTTTTAATCACCCTGTCTATATGTGACACCAACTTTAAAGAATTATGTACCTGCACCCCAGGTCCCTCTGCTTTACAACACTACCCAAGGCCCTACCATTAATTGTATAAGCCCTACCCTTGTTTGTTGTACCAAAATGCAACACCTCTTTGGAACTAAAGGCAGTTCCAAAGAGGTAGTGATGTGGACCCTAAAGGTAAGTCTGGAATTTTGAATGAGACTGGTCATCGGATGCCAGGAAGGCAGCATAGAAGTTTAAATGAGTTTGGGAGCCTGGAGATGTATGATTTTGGGGGGGGAGATGTGCCTTTAATCGATACAGGCCCAAAGAGGAATGTGACATTTCCTTGCTGCCTAACAGCAGCTCTGCTCAGTGAAAGCTGTCCAACTACTCCCCTTGTCTCCACCTTCCTGTGCTGCTTGTAAAATAGCAGTGACGGCAGACTGTGACCATTTGGTAGACCTTGACAGGCCTAAAGGCAGGTTGGCTGCTTGAAATAACTACACAGAGGATGGTATCCCATTGCCAAGTCACCCTTTATTTACATGGGCTGTGACCAGTCAGCTCAAAGCCAGTCCCTAGACTGGGGAGACTTGCTGAATCCCCTGATTGTATCTGTCAGCCAGGGCTTCCTGATTGGCCCAGGTTAACAACCCCAACCAAGAATCTCCTAGTCAATGAGATCCACCTGGCCCTGGTTCCAATCACTACACTTCTGATGCCTTCCCACCCACCATAATATGGAAGCAAGGCCAGGAATGGCTAAGAAGGCCACCTACTTTGTTTTTACATGCCTTTCACCTTCAAATATGCTGGTGGAGTGGGACTGCAATCCAGTCCTAAGCCTTTCAGATCTCTGTTCTATTTCAAATTTCACAGTCAAGCAAACCGTGGGAAGCTTTTACAATTCATTATTAGCTTTTACACTATTGGTGAATATTTCATTTGATTCTGCTAACATTGAAAATATTACTGGTATTCAGGTGCCAATGAGCAGAGTACTGTTTATATACATTAGCCTGACTAGGCCTTTTCAAATTTGTAATGGGATGTGGGAGTCGCTCGCAAGCCCAACATTTTATTGCTCATCCTTAAATGCCCTTGAAAAGGTGATGATGAACTGCCTTGTTAGCCCATTGTAGTTCATTGGTGTTGATGCCCCGAGTGCTGTTATATCTTAAATTGATACCTGTCATATAAGCGTGTCTTATTGATTCTGACAAATAACTACACAATTACAATAATTGAATTTTTCCTCGTCATTTTTTTTTCCAAAATGCAGTATCAGAGATGATTCTTTGAGATCTGAAACAATACTTTCAAAATGTTCATCTATGCATAGACGTAGTTGTTCTTTCTCAACCATGTGAAGACTAGTCTACAGAGGTATACCATAGCATTAACGTTACTGAACTAAAAACAGCCAACAGATTATTTAGCTGTTATCATTTGATGGATTTGCAGGAGATTGCAGTACACGCTGGACATCTCAAAGCACTTTGGAGTCAGTGGTATTCAAATCCTACGACAGCAGCTGAGGAAATTTCATTTCAATTAATTAACAAAGCTGGTCTAATTAATAACAATTATGAAATTAGCTAACTGTTAAAAACCCATCTGATTCACTGATTTCCAACCCGAGGGAACGTCATCTTTATCTGGTCTGGCCTGATCACACCTGCAGGCCACAGCTGTAAATTTGTCTTTTAAATGCTCTTTTTTTTTTAAATAGGTGGTATTTTTTATTTGAACATAGGGTAGGTGATGGGATTCATGTGATCTGTGGTGGAATTTATCTGAGTGGGTGTTTTTATAATTCAAGATCACTGTTTAGATTTTTGAGAGGAAAATGCTTTATCATGGATTGTGTCAAACATCTTCTTCAGTGCTGTTGGAGCTACACTTATACAGGCAAAGGGGAGTATTACATCACACTCCAGACATGTGCTTTGTAAATGGGGGAACAGGCTTTAGGGAGTCAGGAGGTGGTTACTTGCTGCAGTATACCTCTGACCTGCTCTTGTAGTGACTCTTATTATATAGTGAGTGCAGTTCAGTTTCTGGTCAATGGTAATCCCCAGGATATTGATAGTTGAGGAATCATTGATGGTAATGCCATTGAATGTCAAGGGGCAGTGGTTAGATTTGTATGTTATTAAAGATGGTCATTGCCTGGTATTTCGGTGGTGTGATTGTTACTTGGGCTGAAAAGTGTCAAGGCTGGATATGGTCCAGATCTTGTTGTGTTTGGACATGAATTGCTTCAGTATCTGAGGAGTTGCAAGTGATGCAGAAGTGTGTACAATCAGCAGTGAACATTCACACTTCTGACCTTTTATGAATAAAAGGTCATTTATGAAGCAGCTGAAGTTGTTTGGGCCTAGGACACTACCCTGATGAACTCCTGCAGAGATCTCCCAGAGCTGAGATGTGCCAGATTTGATTCAACAGAGTTTTCCCCTGATTCTCATTCGTTCCAATTTTGTTGGGCACCTTGATGCCACGCAGTCAAATGGAGCCTTGATAACAAGGGCCGTCCTTGGAATTCAGCTCTTTTATCCATGTTTGAACCAAGATTGTAATGAGGTCAGGAGTTGAGTGGCCTTGGCAGAATCCAAGCTGAGCATCACCTGAGCAGGTGTTGCTTGATAGCACTATTGACGATTCCTTCCATCTCTTTATTGATGATCGAGAATAGACTGATGGGGTGGTAATTTACCAGGTCGGATTTATCCTGCCCTTTTGTGTACAGGACATGCTTGAGCAATTTTCTACATTGTCCAGGAGATGCCAGTTTTGCTGTTCTATTGTAACAGGTCAGCTGGGGGGTCCTGCAAGTTTTAAAGTCTTCAGTATTATTGTTGGAATATTTCCAGGGCCCGTAGCCTTTGCAGTATCGAGTGCATCTGACCATTTCTCTGTATCATTGGCTGATTGGCTGAAAGCTGGTATTGTGATGCTGGGGAGCTCTGGAGGAGGCTGAGATGGATTACCCCTCTGCCCTTCTGGCTAAAGATTGTGTTGCAAATGCTTCAACCTTTTCTTTTGCACTGATATGCTGGGCTTTCCCATCATTGGGGATATTTAGGGAGTCTCCTTCTCCAGTGAGTTGTTTAATTGTCCACTACCATTCAGGACAAGATTTGGAAAGACTGCAGAGCTTAGATCTGATCCGTTTTGAATCACTTAGCTTCGTTTACCACTTGCTGCTTGTGCTGATTGGCACGTCAGTGGTCTTACTTTGTAGTCTCCCGAGGTTCACACCTCACTATTAGAAATGCCTAGTGTTGCTCCTGGTATGCACTTCTGCAGCCTTCAAAGGACCAGGGTCGATCCCCCAGCTTGGTGGTAACAGTAGAGTTGGGGATATGCCAGGACATGAGGTTGCAGATTGTGCTTGAGTACCATTCTGCAACTTTCAACGGACCACATCGCCTCATGGATGCCCAGTCTTTAGTTTATAGATCTGTTTGAAGTCTATCCAAGTTAGCATAGAAATTTACCACACAACACGATGTAAGGTATTATTGGTATGAAGGCAGGAGTTCGTCTTCACAAGGATTGTGCAGTGATCGCTATTATTGATCCTGCCATGGACATATGCATACGTGATAGGCAGATTGGTGAGGATGAGATCAAGCATACGTTTCCCTCTTATTAGTTCTTTCGTCACTTGTTACAGACTCCGTCTAACAGCCATACCCTTTTAGACCTGACCAGCTCTATTAGTAGTGCTGCTAATGAGCCATTCTTGGGAGTGGATATTGAACATTCTGCACTCTAGCCATCCTCCATGCTTCCTCCAAGTGTTGCTCAATATGGAGGAGCACAAAGTAATCAACTAAGGGAGAATGTACATTGCAATCAGCATGTTTGACCTGATGCCATGAAACTTCATGGTGTCCAGAGTCAATGTTGAGGACTCCCAGGGCAAACCCTCACCGACTGTTTACCACGGTGCCATCATGTCGCTGGTGCAGAACATATCCAGGAATAGTGATGATTATGTCTGGGAAATTGTCTGTAAGGTATGATTCCATGAGTATGACTATGTCAGGCTGATGCTGTCCTAATTTTGGCACTAACCCCTACATGTTAGTAAGGAGGAATTTGCAGATATGACCGGGCTGGATATTTTCAAACAGACATTTACTTGCACTAGATTAAAATCAATACCGTAGCAATCAGTGTAGGGGATATATAGTATTCCAACATTATCATTCTGGCCAAGTATTCCTTAGGTTTTACATCACTGATGATAAATCATTATGTTCGTATTGATTTCATTGTGACCTGAAATGTTTTTAACAATAAAGAGCTGCATGGCTATTAAGCCTAATTCTACTTAAATTAGCTTTCAGCAATCAATATTTTGTGGACACTGACCTAACGGGAAATGTACTTCATACTGAATTTCTTAATCTTTAAGGTTCCAACTTCTTCCAATGCTGTAAAAGCAAAGCGAGACATTGATTATACCTCTGAGAGTGAAACTGAGAGCTGTAAAGAAAATTGCAAAAAAGAAACCAGACGAACAAAGACTGAAACCTCCAAACAACGAAGTGCCAGACAGATGAAAATCAAAAAATCTGACAGGTATTTTTTATTTTTTTTTTTTAATTTATTTTTCACAGATTAGGGCAGTTTGGAAATGGTGTTCCATGAGCTGGCTGCACCCTTTTAGGTGATAGGCTCTGGATTGGGAAGTCCTAGCAAATTAACCTTAACTCTTTGCCTCAGTGCATCTTCTAGTTGGTAAACATAGCAGCCATATTATGATCGTGATGGAGGTGGTGATGCATGTGGGTGCCCATCATTTGGACATCCTTGTCATTGAGCGTTATTAGATTTGCACTCATCCAATATAATGGATCAGGTCAAACATGCTGATTACTATGTACATTTTCCCTTAGTTGATTACTTTGTGCTCCTCCATATTGAACAAGGCTTGGAGGATGGCTAGACTGCATAATGTATTCTGGGGAGTTCAATATCCACCCCCAAGAATGGCTCATTAGCAGCACTACTAATAGAGCTGGTCAGGTCTAAAAGGGTACGGCTGTTAGACTGAGTCTGTAACAAGTGATGAAAGAACTAATAAGAGGGAAACGTATGCTTGATCTCATCCTCACCAATCTGCCTATCACGTATGCATATGTCCATGACAGGATCAATAATAGCAATCACTGCACAATCCTTGTGAAGACGAACTCCTGCCTTCATACCAATAATACCTTACATCGTGTTGTGTGGTAAATTTCTATGCTAACTTGGATAGACTTCAAACAGATCTATAAACTAAAGACTGGGCATCCATGAGGCGATGTGGTCCGTTGAAAGTTGCAGAATGGTACTCGAGCACAATCTGCAACCTCACGTCCTGGCATATCCCCAACTCTACTGTTACCACCAAGCTGGGGGATCGACCCTGGTCCTTTGAAGGCTGCAGAAGTGCATCACACCCTGATTTCTTCCTTGTGGGTGGTGGAAAGGCTTTTGGCCGACAGGATCTGAGTCAGTCACAGCAGAATACCCAAACTCTGACTTGTAGCTATAGTATTCTTTGGTGATCCCATTTCCCCTGCAACCTAGGATGTTGATGATGAGGGATTTCACTGTGATAATGATATGTTTATACTCTGTCTTGCTGGAAATGATTATTCATCACTTACGATCCCAAACCTGAAGGTGCTTCAGATTTTTTAGTATATAGGCACATACTGAATCATTATCTGAAACTCTGTGAATGGGCCTGAATATGATGCAATTAGTAAAAGTCCTTATTTCTGACTTTATGGTGAAAAGAAGACCAGTATGAAGTAGTGAAAGAAGTTTGGGCCTTGAACGTAATTTTGAGGAGCTCCTGCAGCTATGAGCTGGGCTGAGATGATGGTCAATCAAACCTATTTGACTTTATGCTAAGTTTGACCTCAGCTAACGTAAAGTTTTCCTCCAATTTGAACTGACTTCGACTTTAAAGATTTCTTGATTTCGCATCCAGTCAAAGCTCGCCTTGGTGGCAGTAACGCTCAATTTCCTTCTACAACTCCGCTCTATTGTCCATGTTTGGATCAAAGTTGTAATTAGGTTTGAGCCTAATAGTGCTAGTAAAATCCAAACTGAGCATCTGAGCACAGGTTATTATGAGTAAATACCACTTGATCACTCTGTTGATAATACTTCTCATCACTTTAATGATTGAGAGTAGGCTGTTGAAGTGGTTATCGGTCAGACTGAATTTGTCCTGTGTTTTTTACTGAACCAGGTACTTGAGTATCTTTCCTCTTTATCTGGTAGATGCCTTTGTAGTTGTACTCAAACAGCCTGACTGGAGATGTGACTTGTCTGGAACACTACAGCAAGGATATTGCCAGGACCTGTAGCCTTGACTCTATCCAATGGGCTCAGTTATTTCTTGATATTGTATGGACTGAGTTGAAGTGGCTGAAAACTAAATTCTATGAAGAAGGGAGCAGCATGTACGATTGCTAAATTAGTTGTTGGCAAGAAGATAGGAACGTGTTCTGAGGAGGCCATAACGAGTCTGCAAAGAAATATAGATAGATTAAGTGAGTGAGCAAGGATTTGGCAGATGGAGCACAATGTGGGAAAATGTGAACATGTCCACATCTGGAGGAATAGTAGAAATACAACATGTTATTCAAAAGGAGAGAGATTTCAGAATGCTATGGTATAGGAGTACAGTGGGACTCGAGTGTCCTGGTGCATGAATCACCAAAAAAGTTAGTATGCTGGCACAACAAATAATTGGGAAGGCAAATTGAGTATTGTTGCTTATTGTAAAGGAGAAACGCTTTGCAAAGTTATACAAGTGAGACCATCAGGAATACTAGGTACAGATTTGGTTTCCTTTATTTAGGAAAGGAGATAATTGTATTAGAAGCAATTCAGACAATGTTTTTTCTATTAATTCCTGGGGTGAGGGAGATATTTTGAGGAAAGTTTTTAGACAGGTTTGTCTCCATTACAGTTTAGAAGAAGAGGTTTAGAAGTCCCAAGAGGACTTGTTAAGGTGTATGCTGAAAGGATGTATAACCTACTATGAGAATTTAGAACTAAGAGATACCTTATAAAAATAATAGATAGCGATGAGGAAAATATCTCTTCTGTCATGAGAGGCAGTAAGATCTTCTTTTTAAATATAAAAAATAGGAGAAGCCAAAGTGAACATGTGCTCCTTAGAGAATATACCTAAGGAAAAAAAATTCTTGGGAAACCAGGAAACAGAAGAGGTGAATAAATACTTTGTCATTCTTCACAGAAGAGGATTGTAATAGCATTCCAAAAATACAAAATGAAAGGACTAAAGGGAAGGGGCAGGAGGAAGAAGAAATAAATACAGTAACTTTTACGGAAACTACTGGGGCTGAAGATCAATAAGTCCCCTGGATCGGATGGGTTGCAGCCTTAGCTTGTAAAGAAGTAGCTACAGAGTTAATGTTTGCACTGCTAGTAATCTTCCAAGCATTCTTAGAATTTGGGACCTTCCCAATGAATTATTTTAATATATTTGTTCATGGGATGTAGATGTTGCTGGCTGGGCCAGCATTTATTGCCTATCCTTAATTGTCCTGGTACTGACCAGCTTTCTGGAACCACTTCATACAGCAGTTAAGAGTCATTGTTGTTGGTCTGGAGTCATGTGTAGGCTAGATCAGATAAGGATGGCAGATTTCCTTACCTAAAGAGCATTAGTGAACCAGATGGATTTTTACTTTTGACAATGACAGTGGTTACTGTCGGACTAATTTTTAATTCCCATTTCTTTGCCATGGTGCAATTTGAACCCATTACCCAAGAATATTAGACTTGATTACTAGTCCAGTGCCTTTACCATGACAGATATTGAGGCATTCCAGAAAAGTTACACAAGGTTAATTTTGAGGTATGGAAGATTTTCTTATAAAATGATATTGACAGTTTAGATGTAGAGAGGTTGCCATCCTTGTTGGACAACCTAGGAGCAGAGGGCATAATCCTCAGTAAAAAGTCACTCGTTTAAGACCGAGATGAGGAGGAAGTTCTTCTGTGGGTAATGAATCTTTGGAGTTCATTACCAAAGGGGACTCTGTCGGCTGGGTCAATAAGTATATTCAAGGCTGAACCAGACTGATTTTTAATCAGTAAGGCATTCCAGTTTTCTGAAGGTAATGGAGGAAAGTGGAGTTGAGGATTATCGGATCAGCCATTACACTATTCAATGGCATAGTCCAGGTGGCCTACTCCTAAATCATATATTCCTTTGACTTCAGGAGGAGAAAGATGTAGATTATTCACTCATCTGTAGGTGGTTACAAACCTTTCGGGCTGGCCATTTGTACTCCAGTACTGAACCCACTGTCATAACACCATTCATTGCTGGATGTGACTTGATCGTGGAGGTTTGATTCAGTTGTTGTTGTTGTTGTGGATCACTTGCATCTTTTTATAGCATGCAGTTTCTGCTATTTTGCATGAATGTAGTCCTGTGTTGTAGCTTCAACAAATTGGCACCTCATTTAGGTACATCTGCTGGAGATCCTGCATGCTCGTCATTGAATTGGGATTGGTAAACCTATTCAATTTTGCTATGTAGTAGTAATATGGTATTGGATAGTGTTTCCAGTGTGAAGACAGGGTTTTGTTTCCACGAGGACTGTGTGGTAGTCAGTCCTACCACTGTTGACATGGATAGATGCATTGTGATAAATAAATTAGTAACCATCAGGTCAAGTTGAATTTTCCCTTGTATTAGGGTTCTCACCACCTGCCACAGATGCAGTTTGGCAGCTTCAGGAATCAGTCAACTTAGTCAATAATGGTGCTTCTGAGGCAGCCTTATTTATGGATGTTGGAGTCCCTCATCCAAAATACATTCTGTGCCATTATACCCTCTTCCAGTGGCGTTCAATACTGCATGGTACTCATTCATCAACCAAGGGTGGGCGGTAGGGAGTAATGAGCAGGATTTGTTTTTTGTGCATGAAACTTTGACTCTGAACATCAATGTTGTATACTGCCAAAGGCATTCCCTCACGAATGTATACCACAGTGTTGCAACTGTTAGTGAGTCTTCCCAGCCAATGGAACAAGACAGGGATGGTGATGGAGTGTTGAGAAAGAAATAGGGGAATAAGGGAGATATGGTGTGTGAATTGGTGTCAAATCATGTGTATGAAGTAAATTGTGGGCAAGAAAGATCGGATTAAAGTACAAGACAGAGGATAATTGTTCTTTTAATTTTTATGAAGAATTTCCTAAATACAGAAATGTTGACTTTGGGTTTGAGATTAATTGACATTGTATTAACAATAATGACATTTTTAACAGGAATTTAGACTCTTAATTTCCAGCCCTAATTTATTGTAATAGGTTTAATGGACAAATCATGTACAAATCCATCAACTTCTTTAAAATCCCAAATAAGAGCAAAATACTGTGGATGGTGGAAACATGAAATGGACAAACTCAGCAGATCTGGTAGCATCTGTGGAGAGAGCAACAGTTAACATTTCAAGTCCAGTCCTTCAGAACTTTTCTGTTTTTACTTAAAAACACCAGGCAGGCTGAGACCAAACGCGAAAGTGTGAAGTAAA